CTAAACAATGAGAACCGTAAACCATCAGCCGCCGATGCTTAGGGTTTGTGGTTTGCGGCTAGGCTTCGAAGGGCAAGGTTAGGGTTTAGGGTTTAGGGTTTTTACGCTAAACACAAACCCTAAACCCTAAACCCTAAACCCTAAACCCTTCAGTGGATGCACACCCCAACCCTCCCTTTATCTGGGGAGTAGCCCCAGACAAGCACAGCTAGCTGTGGCTAGCTGTGGCTAGCTGCGGCTAGCTGTAGCTAGCTGTGGCTAACTCTTGTTACCTGTGGCTAGCTGTAGCTAGCCATGGCTAGCTGTGGCTAGCTGCGGCTAGCTACGGCTAGCTACGGCTAGCTACGGCTATCTGTGGCTAGCTGTAGCTAGCCATGGCTAGCTGTGGCTAGCTGTGGCTAGCTGTAGCTAGCTGTGGCTAACTCTTGTTACCTGTGGCTAGCTGTAGCTAGCCATGGCTAGCTGTGGCTAGCTGCGGCTAGCTACGGCTAGCTACGGCTAGCTACGGATATCTGTGGCTAGCTGTAGCTAGCCATGGCTAGCTGTAGCTAGCTGTGGCTAGCTGTGGCTAGCTGCTGGCAGTCCTGGGCCCTACTCATATGCAGGGAGCTGCGGAGCCCTAAACCCTCAACCCTCAGCTGTGCAACAAAACCCTAAACCCTAAACCCTCAGCAGCGCATGTTGTAGCCGCTGCCTCTGCGGTGTACAGACAGCTGCATGTACACCCCAAGCCGCCCCTAGCAGTATATCATCATCAGCAACAGCAGCAGCAGCAGCAGCAGCAGCAGCAGCAACAGCAACAGCAACAGCAGCAGCAGCAGCAAGAGGTGTTTTTCTATCTGTTGTCTCTATGAAGATAAACTCGGTTTTAGGGTTTAGGGTTTAGGGTTTAGTGTTTAGGGTTTAGGGTTTAGGGTTTAGGGTTTAGGGTCTAGGGTCTAGGGTTTAGGGTTTAGGGTTTAGGGTTTAGGTTGTATGAAGAGCATATTTAAGAAGGTCCCTAAGTTAACAATTTCAACAAAAATAGGGTTTAGGGTTTAGGGTTTAGGGTTTACCCCCCAAACCCTAAACCCTAAACCCTAAACCCTAAACCCTAAACCCTAAACCCTAAACCCTAAACCCTCAGCTCAGTGTAGCGGCAGCAACATGCCGTGTATATTTCTGGGGGTTTTGCCCTCAAAGAGAGAAGACAAACGCCGCAGCTCCTCTAAACAAAGAAAAGCAATAAACGCAGGCCAAGGCTGAGACAAAGCACGCCCGCTCTGCAGCAGCAGCAGCAGCAGCAGCAGCAGCAGCAACAGCAGCAGCAGCAGCAGCAGCAACAGCAGCAGCAGCAGCAGCAGCAGCAACAGCAGCAACAGCAGCAGCAGCAGTAGCAGCAGCAGCAGCAGCAGCACACGCAGAAAATAAACAGTGAAATGCTGCAACTATACCGCCATTGACAAAATCAATACAATCCAGCAGCAGCAACAGCAGCAGCAGCAACAGCAGCAGCAGCAACAGCAGCAGCAGCAACAGCAGCAGCAACAACAGCAACAGCAGTAAACGCAGCAGCAGCAGCAAGCGTAGCAGCAGCAACAGCAAAGGCAGCAGCAGCAGCAGCAGAGGCAACAGCAGCAGCAGAGGCAGCAGCAGCAGCAGAGGCAGCAGCAGCAGCAGCTATGAAGTGCACGTGACCCCTGCAGCAGTGGCAGCACAGAAGCTACAGCAGCAGTCTTCGCAGCAGCAGCAGCAGAAAAAGCAGCAGTAGCAGCAGCAACCACAACAGCAACAGCAACAGCAGCAGCAACAGCAACAGCAACAGCAACAGCAGCAGCAACAGCAGCAGCAACAGCAGCAAGAGCAGCATTTACAGCCACAGCAGCAGCAGCGTCTGCAGCAACAGCTGCAGCTGCTGTTACTGCCCCAACCGATACTGCTGTTGCTGCTGCTCCTGCTCCTGCTGCTGCTGCTGCTGCTGCTGCTGTTGCTGCTGCTCC